AGAGAGAGAGAGAGAGAGAGAGAGAGAGAGAGAAAGATTGGAAGAGAATTAACTTTCACGTGGTTTAACATTTATTTCGGAAATGTTTACTCTTGAATTAAATTCAATCCTAAATTCTATCATATCATACTTTTCTTTCCCAACAATTTTCCATTTCCTATCAATATGATTAGCTTTAAATTAATATAACCTGAAATATGGGAAGATATTCCGGTTTTTTTTTTACTATTTTCCGGAAACAGTATTACTGATCAAATGAAAAAGAAAGTAAACAAAGAAAAGAAAATGGAAGATGAAGAAAACAACCGTGAAATTTAAGTAACAGCTTTACTAACTGATATCTTCCTAGGCAAAGCAAAGAACGACAACTGAAGAATTCGATCATCAATAGGTATGTATATGTATGTGTGTATGTGTGTGTGTCTGTGTCTGTCTGTTTGTCTACCTGTCTATCTGTATATATGTATGCAGGGGATCTGTGCGTGTATGTGTGCATGTGTGTATGTATGCATGAATATGTTTTTATATGTGTATGTATATGTATGCATATGTGTATGTGTATGTGTATGTATATGTGTGTGCATATGTATGTGTGTGTGTATGTGCGTCTGTGTGTGTGTATGTGTATGTGTGTGTTTACATGTGTGTGTGTGTGTGTGTGTGTGTGTCTGTATGTTTATGTATTGGAATGAAAACAGAAGTTAAAAAGTTGTTTTTTTTGTTATTCGTAAATCTTGAAATTAAAAATATTTCATCAAATTTTTATCAGAGTTTTATTTTTGTTTTTTGAAATTTTTTTAATAAAAATATTTGCAAAATTTGAATATATATACATATAAGAGAAAATTTTCAAAGAAATTTTTCGGAAATTTCATTATTTGAAATATTTCAGTAATAATAATAATAATAATAATGATAATAATAGTAATAATAATAATAATAATAATAATAATAATAATAATAATAATAATAATAATAATAATAATAATAATAATAATAATAATAATAATAATAATAATAATAATAATAATAATAATAATAATAATAATAATAATAA